ACTTTGAAGTGAATGGACTGCCTTCAGGTTTTTCCAGCTCCTGAGGCCTCACCCACACTGGCAGTGGGCTGGATGAGCTGGGTTATATTTTCTGACAGTGTGCCAGCTCCTGACTCGTCTGCCTGAGAATGAACTTGGGGCCCATGGATGGTGCGGTTTAGACATGTTGTAATGGGTTCAGAAGAAAAGGGCTTGTTGCCATGGCAGTCCTTATCGAGAGCTGATGCTGGGTGAAGAGATTTAGACAGGTTATCTGAAGTCTCACACTGTCAGCCCGGCCTGGAAAGGCAGCCTCATCTATTCGTTCACTCAATTGATGAGTATGGATAGAGCACTGATGATTATCTGAAACGCCATTGGTACTGGGTTATAGACAGGTGAGTCATATAGTCTGCTCCAGGCAACTTGGTCTACTGTGATGTATTTGTTCCCATTTTTTCAGCAGAGGAAACTGAGGTCTCAAGAGATCAAGAAGGCTGCCCTGCTCAACTGGCTGCCCCAGACAGAACCCAAAGATAGAGTTGCATCCTGAGTGGCTCCAGGTCCTCCTGCACGTCCAGACCCTCCCAGGCCCTGAAGGTCTGTTCTCCCATATGCACACACTTTGCTCGCTGCATCCGTTTAAGAGGCAAGCCTGACTCAGGTGGCCTGCGGCTCACCTTGATTCAGCGTGACTTGTAGATAAGTCCTTCCCCGGATGATGAGAGGCAGTGCCCTCCAGGGCTGGGCCTGTACACCGACACTGCCTGGGGCCTCCCTCAGGTGTTTATAGGCACAGGCTGTGAGACTCATGGTTAAGCCAGAGGAACACAGGAGCTGTGCTGACCTTCTCAACGCTGGTTCCCGCTGTCTCTTCTCAGCACTCTGACATCCAATCCAGGCCCCGGGATCCCACCTGGAGCGCTCCCTGAGGTAAGGCTTCTCTTGGAATTGACCCACCTGTTTCTTTGTTGATCTCCTCTACCAGGTAATTAGGGGGTGATGGTGCCATACTTGGGAATGCCTCAGACAGTGGCCATTTTTTTTTTAAGTGTACTAGCTCATGGCACCTCAACCCCCGATATAGTGCTCACTCTGTTTGGGGGGTATCCAGGGGAGATGTTGGATGGGAAATGTGGGAGAAGGCTCAGATCAGCCAGTTCAGGAAAACTCCTCATTCTGCCCCCAAGTTATTGCTGGTCTGAGCTTCCAGAAGGCTACTCAGGCTCCAGTCCTGGCGTGGGAGTCGGGAGAGCTCTTCTCAGCTGTGTTGAGCCCATGGAAATGGGGTTTTTGGGGTGGGGGAGAGCGCTTTGGGCTTGCTGCCACACACATGTGCTTTGCTGGAACTGATGGCAGACCACATGCAGACCCCTGTCTGCTCTTTGGAGAGATGCTGGTATTTCAATGTGGTAGTCAACAGGACAACATTCCATCCAAAACTGGCCCCAAGAACAAGGGCCATTCCTCTGGGGAAAGCTGCAAAGTGCGCCTTTCTTGCTCCCAGAAGCACTGGCTGTTACTTGTGGCGGGCTTCTGAAGGGCAGGGACCAGGCACCAGGTGTGTGTACCTGTTTCCAGGCACATGGAAGGTGTCCCGTACAGATTTGAGTCGAAACGATGCCTCCTGAAGTGGGTGAGGGAAGCCAGCAGCCAACGTGCTCCCAACAGGAGAGAGAGAGGAGGTGGGCAGGGGCCCTCCACCGCTCGCCTGCGGTTAAGAAGCGTTCAGACCTCAGGGTCCCAGCTGTGGGTCTGTGGCGGGAGGAGAATCCAGTGGTTAGGGGCGTGCGTTCTGAAATAAGGCAGATCCAGGCTCAAATCCGCCCACCTTCACCGACATAAGGAAGTCATCCACCGCCTCCCTGACTCACTTCTCGGTTTCCCCATATCTGAGATGGGAGCAAGAGAGCCGGCCTTGTAGGCAGAGAAGTAAGATGCTTTGCTCCAGGTGTGGCACCCACAAGACTACAAGCCATGCCAGCTGCTGGTAGCCTTGGGTGGGACCACCTGGAATCGTCACTACTCAATCACTTTTGACCTACCACATGACAGTTTTTCTTGGTGCAAACTGACTTTATCGTCTCTCTGGTTGTCTTTGTGCTGCCGTTTGGGACTGGGTTGTGTTGGGGCCCCTGCTCAGCCTCCCCTAAGGAGTCAGGGCCTAACTCCGTGCCTGTTCTGGAGATGAAGGGGCCTATGCAACCATCTTCTTCAGCCCCTTTCTTGCCAGGTGGGGAGCTGGACCTCCAAGAGGAAGGTTCTTGCCCAAAGATACACAACTTGCTGGACATGAACCTAGGCCCAGAATCTGATTCCTAATTCAGTTTTCTTTCCACTGCCGTAGTCTGAAGCTGCTGCCACATTTGGAGCTAGGGCTGGGGCCAAGTGGGCCAGCTAGCTACCTGCATGCGGTGCTAAGGCATCGTGTGACAAGGGGCAGCGGGATGGCACCTTTCAGAACTGCCCTGAGAGGCAAGCTGTGTGGGTCAGAAGAGTCTGTAGTCCCAGCTCTGACACTGAAGGGCTGGGTAAGCTCAGTTTCCTCATCTGTACAATGGGCAATGAGAGCATCAACTTCGTGGGGTTGTTGTGGGGATGAAATGAGTACATATTTGTGAATCATATTGTAAAATAATGTAATTTGTAAATATAACTTACGAAAAAAACTTTTCTAATATTATAGAGCACTTAAAGAGTGCCCAGCATTTGGTAAGGGCCACTTTTGTGTTTGCTATTATTATTCTGAAGACATTCGGGGATTGGTATTGCTGGTGTGTGTGTGAGTTTGGGCTGGTGCTGAGTTACTGCGAACAGAGAAGAGCTCTCTAGAATGGACCCCAAGATCCCCCTTTCCTCTACCCCATCCCCTCTTGCATCAGCTGTGGCTCTAAATATTTAAGAGGCAAATACTTTTTATATTAACAGCCTGTGGGGACTGGGGTTAGTGTGTCTTACTCATAAAGCATCCCAAGTTGCTAAACAATGTAGGGCACAAAATAAAAGCACGTGAGTCTTTGCTATATGAGTGAATTCATTTGTTCACACCCTAAAGGATTTGAGTCTAAAGGAGGAATCTGGAAAACAATCAGAGTTGCTCTGGAAATCAATTCAGAATACTTTAAACTCGGCATTCTTTTTTTCTTTTTAATAAATTCTTATTGATTTCAGAGAGAAAGGAAGAGGGAGAGAAAGAAACATCAATGATGAGAGAGAATCATTGATTGGCTGCTTCCTGCACGTCCCCTACTAGGGATCGAGCCTGCAACCCAGGCATGTGCCCCTGACTGGAATCGAACCTGGGACCCTTCAGTCTGCAGGCCGATGCTCTATCCACTGAGCTAAACTGGCCAGAGCCAGCATTCTTAAATCCTCCCTAATTTGTCCTCCAAATCGTATGAATTGCTGTTTTCTATCTCTAAGAGCCAGGCTCCCCTCTCCATTATCACAACTCTACTCCATGCTTTTATTTTATCTCACCTGGAAAATTGCAACAGACTCACCTTCTGCCCTTGTCCCCAGAAGCTAAAAGAAGGACTAGCTTAAAAGTAAATTAGATCAGATCCCTCTCCTGTCCAAACACATCAGAACTCTTCCCTTTGCCTCCAGGTCAAACCCAAGCCCAGTGGTCAATAAACTCATACAAAGATGCTCAGCATCACTAATCATCAGGGAAATGCAAATCACCACCACAGTGAGACAGCACTGCACACCCACGCTGATGGCCATCATCAAAAGGACACAATCTGCAGGGTTGAGGAGGATGTGGAGAGACTGGAGAGTGGTCGACAAACTCATTAGTCAACAGAGCCAAATATCAACAGTACAATGATTGAGATTTCTTTTGAGAGCCAAATTTTTAAACTTAAACATCTTCTAACGCCACTTCTTCAAAATAGACTCGCCCAGGCCGTGGTATTTTGTGGAAGAGCCACATTCAAGGGGCCAAAGGGCCGCATGTGGCTCGTGAGCCGCAGTTTGCCGACCACGGGACTGGTGCGCTCATATATTGCTGGTGAACCGTAAACCACTGCAGCTGCAGCTCCTCAAACGGATTACCACATGGCCCAGCAATTCCACTCGTAGGTGAATACCCAAGAGTTAAATAAATCCTGATCAGTTTTCTAAAAAACACTATTAATGCTGAATCTTCTCCCCATTTTCATTTCGGTTTTGAATCCTATTTGATTCTTTCCCATCTATATTTCATAACAAAGTTTCTGGCTACCAGGCATGTATTCTTGGACTACAATTTCCACGTGGAGATTTTATCACAACGCCTTCATTCTCTCCCCCTCCCCTGGTTTAGGCAGACACACATTTTTACCTTGTGTAGTATTTGCCCTTATTAGTTTTATTTTGCTATATTGTCTTAACGAAAATGTTCATTATGGATTTAATGAAATACTGATAGATTGCATAGATGTCTCAAACATGTTAAATAAGTTTTAAATAAATACTAATGTACACAGTAGGGGGAAAAATGCAGGCAAGAGGAACAGGTATACAGAGGAGAGGTGGTGTGTCTCCTAGGGCAGCTGCAGTTGATCCATGGGAGCCCTGGACCTGTGCTGGCTGGCCCTCAGAGATCCAGAGAGGTCATGGGGCCAGGTCCTCAGGTTCTGGGCCAGCCTGCCATCAGATGCAGGCCCTTTCATCCCTCCCGCTCAGTGGAGAGCCATCTGCTCTGCAACCAGCACTCCCTGTAGCTGAGGGTACATCCCCCTGAAGGAGACCCCAGGTGGCCCAGCATGGAGACCATTGTCACACATAGTCACCAAGTTATCTCGGTGACTACCCTTTTTGATCAAATGCTTTTTTTTTTTCTTTTCTGAAAAGCAGCCATGTGTAAAAATTATTCATTGTCATTATATCTCCAATAGCCCAACAGATTGCCAAACTTCCAAAAGCTGAAGGAATTGAGTCGTCTGCTAATCCAAGCTCGGTCTTCAGTCCCTTCAGAATCACTTCTCTCTTGGACATCTTTAACCTGTTGATATATTTCCATCTGATCAAGCATTTTTTTTAGGCTGTGAGTAAGTGAATAGAGCAATGTTTTCTATCCAGTCATCTCCCCTAGCCTGTGTTTCAATGTCCCAAAGTCTAATTAATAGAACAGAGATGTTGCCCTGAACTTAACACTTTGGAAGCTTATTTTTAACTTTTTTTTTTTTTTTTTTTTTTTTTTTTTTTTTTTTTTTTTTTTTAACCTCTGGAGGACCCTCCAGCCTCAGTGTGCTGTTGGGAGCCTGTCTCTTCCATTCCAGATGTTTCTCCCTCCCCCAGGGGTGGGGTCCCCACATAGCTGCAGCTGGGAACTCGGCCTCAGGCAGCCTGGAGAGTAAGCCTGCAAAATCAAGGCTTCCCCCACCTTTTTCCTTTTTTCTAAGGTGACTTCCAGGCCTGCAGACATATAAAAAGTTCTTCTGTGTCCTTTTCTGGCAGTTGGACAGCTGCAGAATGCCACTTGGCAAACAATTTTATCCAACCCAAGGCTTGGCATTTGATGGGCAAACACAGCTGAAGGTTAATCACAGACTTGTCCTAGCAAAGCTTGTTAACTCATAATAAAAATTCAACACAAAATGTGCTTTGCCAAATACCCCTTCCCTGAAGTGTCATGGACAGAGCACCGCCAAACTCCATGACAGACATGTGTAGCATCAGAGACGGGCTCTTGAAAGGTAATTAGGGGGACGAACCCCATGGGGAAGGAGGACAAGCCACCAACCTTAGCCATCCCGCCCTTGGAGTGGGCACCCCCTGCCTGGGAGGATAGCTCAGCCCCGTCTCAGGATGTGACTTCAGGAACTCATTTCTTTCTGTGCCTCCCCTAGACCCCATGGCGTCCCTCCCAGGCCTGCAGAAGGAAACACTGTTCAAGTCGGGAGCACTGACCTACAGAATCCCTGCTCTGCTCTACCTGCCACAGCAGAAGACTCTGCTGGCCTTCGCAGAAAGGCGCAAGAGCAAAGAGGATGAGGACTCAGATCTGATTGTCATGCGCAGGGGCAGCTATAATGAGTCCACCTACCAAGTCCAGGTAAGGCAAGATGAGGCTACACCTGCTCCGCTGGGAATATGGGGACCATGACTTTCTTAGATGGCGGGGTTCTGGGGACAGACGGAAAGGAGACATTGTATCCCAGGAGGGATTCAGGGCCCTACCATGGGTGAGGCAGAGAAAGTTACCCAAAGTGGTCACCCAGAAAATGTGGGTTCACTGGGACCAAGTCCAGTTGGCCTGGCAGCATCGGCTTCAGTGCAGGATGGGTCAAGTCCAGGGAAACTAATGCTCGGAAAGGTTTTCCTGTGTGATTGAGGATCCAGGGAGGACTAGTTTAGAATTCCGTAACTGGGGTTGTATCCTTTGAGTAAAATTAACCTGGGGAGTGGGACCTGGGAACGGTTGGAGTGATTGCTGTGTTCTAAAAACCCAGCATGTAGATCAAGTAATTAATTTTGACAAAGACATCCAAGACTGGCATATCACATATTACTATTATAATAGTATTATCATTACTCTGTGGTCATTATTACATAGCAGCTGTTTAGAGCATGGGGTTTGAAGCAGATGGACCTGGGTTCAAGTCCTGGTTTTATCAGTTAGAGGTATGGCCTTGGGCTACTCACCTTCCTTATCTAAGCCTTCCATTCTCCAGATGTAAGCTGGAGCTAATGCTACCTGTTCCCCAGGAATTAGGGGTTGGGCTCTCGGCCCAGTATCTGCCTTTAGAAGGCTCACTGGGGGACAGGTGTTAATGAGTGGGGGTGGATGGCAGAGCTGCTGCCTATATGGGATTCTGGGAGTCCTAGTGTCATGTAGTTGCCCCTCCTAGACTATATTAATAACCTGTTTCCCCGAAAATAAGACAGCGTCTTATATTATTTTTTTTCTCCCAAAGTTGTGCTAGGTCTTATTTTCAGAGGATGTCTTATCTTTCCATGCGCTAGGTCTTATTTTCGGAGGATGTCTTATTTTCGGGGAAACACAGTAGAATATGGTGTATAAAAGATGGGAAGTGATTGTCATATTCTGTCCCACACAGGTCAGACTATTGTGGTTACTACTAGGGCTTTACTTTTAAAGAATGGGAAGTTGGCCTGGGAACCAGGATGAAGCTGGGAATGGCTCGTGCCCAAAGGATCTCTGATCTGAAGTCTAGCCCACCGTAGGTGCCCTGATACATGTTGGTGGGAATGAGGCAGCAGACATTCAGGAGGAGTGGGCTGCTGTGCAGGGGGTGAGGTGGAGCCTGGCTCAAACAGCTCTGGGAGGTGATGTGAGTTGAGCGAGTGGTAGGTGAACACTTCCTCCATGACCTTTGACCTAACCCCATGAGACACCTCCCCCCACCCAGAGTGCAACTCTGTCACTGTCACTGGTCATTTCAAGGCAGTGCTTGTCTTTCTTCCTCTCCTCACATTCAGTGGCAGGCTCAGGAAGTGATTAACGAAGCCCAGCTGGAGGGCCACCGGTCCATGAACCCATGTCCCTTGTATGATGAGAGAACGGGGATCCTCTTCCTCTTCTTCATTGCCATCCCAGGTAATGTCTCTGAGCAACACCAACTCCACAGCAGAGCCAATGTGACGCACCTGTGCCATGTCATCAGCACTGACCATGGCAGGTCCTGGAGCCCCGCCAAGGACCTCACAGACTCTGCCATTGGCTCAGCCCACGAGGAATGGGCCACCTTTGCAGTGGGCCCAGGGCACTGTCTGCAGCTGCACAATGAGGAACAGAGCCTAGTGGTGCCAGCCTATGCCTACCGGAAAATTCGTGACGATGCGCCGCCCAGCCCCGCCTCTTTCTGCTTCATCAGCAACGACCATGGGCTCACATGGGAAAGAGGCAACTTTGTGGCCCCGGAAACGGTGGAGTGTCAAGTGGCTGAGATCGGGAGTGCAACACAGAGGATGCTATATATCAATGCTAGAAGCCCCCGTGGGTACAGGATTCAGGCCGAGAGTGTTGACAACGGGCTTAATTTCAGGGAGGCCCAACTGGTACAGAAGCTTGTGGAGCCTCCCTATGGCTGCCACGGGAGTGTGATCGCCTTCCCCAGCCCCAGCGAGGGAGCAGAACCCTCAGACAAGTGGCTGCTCTACACTCACCCGACTGACTCCCGGCAGAGAATCAACCTAGGTGCCTACCTCAATACACGGCCCCCGGCCTCTAACGCCTGGTCCCAACCAGTCCTTCTGGCTGAGGGCAGCTGCACCTACTCAGACCTTCAGAGCCTGGGTGCCGGCCCCGAAGGCTCACCCCTGTTTGGGTGTCTGTACGAATATGATAACTATGAGGAGATCATCTTCCTCATGTTCACCCTGAAACAAGCCTTCCCAACTGAATTTCCGGCTACCTCCCTGTGAGCCTGCCATGTGCTACCTCCTATTCTTGCCCCCCTAATCATGCAAATACCCTGTGACCCAGCAATTCCACTCAGAAGTATACATCCAAGAGAAATGCATGCATGTAGCTGCCAAATACATCCCATACCGAGTTTCTCCCAATGTTAGTATCTTACATAACTGGTATATTAGTCAAAGCTAAGAGATAAACATTGCTCCATTACTATTACCTGAACTACAGAATTTATTTGGATTTCACCAGTTTTTCCACTAATACCCCTTTTCTGTCCTAGGATATAATTCAGGATATATTTAGTGCACTGAATGAAACTGAATTTTTACTATAATTTGTGTCCATAGAGATATTCACATACCCAGAGATTGGTGGACAGCTACAACAGGCCCCTCCACTTCACCCACCTTCTCCTAAAAACTGCTTGTTGAACATATAAATAAACAAGCAAACGCCAAGAAAATGTGCTTCAGGCCTGGACTGCTGGATTGCTGGACTACAAATGTCAGAAGTTCAGCCTTTAAAGGCTCTAAAAGGTAACCCCCAGATCAATTACGTTAGAGCTCCAGGTCTAGGCTGTGGCACATTTTCAGAGGTACTTGTCAGTTTTGAGCCCAATGCTAACTAAACATTTTCCTTCATGACATTGCCTGGGACATGGAGGACTGGTTTGGAAACTGTGGGTGTGTGTGGTACATGGTATTGAGAGCTTCATGCTGAGATCTCACCTATTGCCTCAAGAATTACAAAGACTTTGCAGAGCTAGTCTACTAAGGACCCTTGGAATAGATTGGAGTCCACACCACCCACTGCAGGCACCAAGAGTTCAGTTTGTTCCCTGGGATGGCTGAAGGCCACCAGACCAGATGTTGCTCTAGGAGATGAGAATTCAACAGTGACAAGACACCCTCAAGAAATCCTCATCTCATGGAATAAAGTGGAAAATAAACACATAAGCAACTAAATAGGAAATGCAACTCTACTCATTAGTGATAAAAATAATATAGAAGGGAACAATATGATCAAGAGCAGTGGCTACTGTACCTGAATCATCAGAGACTGAATCTCTGAGGAAGTGACATCTTAACAAAGGTTCCGAAGAGATAATACATTTGATTGTTCTCCTCAAGGAGTCATCCCCATGGACTGAGGACCTGGCTGGATGTGGGTCCACGGGACATATTCTCCTACCTTTTCCCCTGTGGTTTCCCTTGGAGCCCACTCCCTGGGTTTCTACCTGTACTTAGAGTGGCCCCTGGAGAAGTTGTGAGAAATGCAAGTCCTTGGGTCGGCCTGAGTCCTACAGACCCTTTGAACCTGAAACTCAGGGCCCAGCAATTTGTCTTAAGAAGCCTTCCAGGTGATCTGGTGTGTGCAAGATTTGAGAACCTGGAGAAACCCTGGTGTAAACCCCAACCTGGCCAAGACTTTGCCCAAGATGTGGTATGCTCCTCCAAATTCTGGAAGACCACCCTGACCACCCTGGTGGTCTTACTGATACAATGGCTGCCTGTGGGACTCAAGACCTAGAAACTCTGGGGACCTCAGGTGAAAGTGGTTGATAACTGGGCTAGGAGTAAGAGACTAGCAAAGCTCTCTCTCTCTGCCAGCAGCATATGTGGATGGAGCAGGAAGAATGTACTGCTGGAGACATCCTTCTAATTTGGTCAAAAGCATTAGAAGAGGATGTGTTCTGGGTCTGGAATAAAGATCTTTGGGGAACCTTCCCTTGGTAACAGTGGGCGTGCATACTTCTTGTTTTCTGCTGGTCTTTTACTGCC